GACGAACCTCTACCTTTCCATCCCGTGGCCCAGGCATATGTTGGCAAAGTATCCCTGCAGTATGACACAAATAAAATATTTCAGGAGGACTTGCAATCACTGCTTTACCTTCGTCAGCCTTCTGGTACCAATCAGACAGTTTCCTTTGCATCAAGCAAGTCAACTGAATAGAATGCTCTTTGCAACATACAGAAATGACTACCCGGAATAAATTAGTTTTTTATGTCAAAAAGATGTGGTCACATAATTTTTAAAGCATTATACACATATCAAAAACTAATATCTTACAAATAAAAAAAAAAAAATAAATAAAATTCCTAGCCGCGATAGGAAATATACAAGCAAAGAGTATGGTGTTTCTGAACATTATGATTTTTGCATCTCATTTACAAAACTACTTTTTTTTCCAAACGTCACGTCGATTATCAACACAATTTAACACCGTTGTTTTGGCTAGTATGTTATTCACGAGCTTCTATCATGCAAGAGCTTGGCCAACACTGAACACATTTCCGTCTCGTGAGCTCACACCTTCATATACACAGTATATCTGAAGCCCCGTATCTTCCTGTTACCCAATTGTTCCTCTAGGCTCTTCATATTTACATAGTCACAGAACTAGCACAATACACATTTTTGGTTTTATTATATTGTCAGAACAATTTGCTTGGATTAAGTACACACAAACACACTGAGCAAAGAAAAAAAGACAACATAACTTGTGAAAAGCAATATCTTAGCAATATGTACAATTATCTATACATCAGTGTTGTATAAATAACTTTAAGAATTACTATACTGTACAGAATGTAAAGCTACAAAAAGCCGTCTATTGACAACTAACTATAAAATAACTGGTTGTTATTTGTTCTGCTTAAGCTCCGTGGATTGGTGTCGCTGTCCTGCTGTCTGATGCCCGATCTTATGGTGGTGTAGTGGACCACGTTGTGCTGGGGCTCCTGGGCCGACGGCGAGAAGCACAGGTACGAGCCGTGGGGCGCCGACCGGTCCAGGTCGCCGTCGATGTCGTCGATATCTGCAAAGACGCGGCAACGGTTGGAAGGGGGTGTTCATGCGCTCTTAGGACTGGCAGTTCTCTAAAGCTAAGGACGGTAATGCATTTGTTCTTCAGACTCTGTGATAAATAATTACCTGTTGCAAAAACAGAGGTGAGCGGGTCGTTGACATTCTTGGCTTCTCGCTTGGCCAGATGTCTTTCCAAAAGGAGACGACCCACGACCACAAACAGGAAGAGCAACAAACCCACACACAGTCCAACCATCAAGTACAAAATGAATTTCTCGAAATTTTCTGAAAAAAAGTCGTGAATTACCCTAAAATGAACCTTATTTGATTTTCTCAAATCATCAAAGAACACACTGGAAAGTACAGCGCCTTTTTAATTAATAAATATATATTGCCATGAATTTAATGCACTCTATACACTAGAAACCACAATGGCACAAACTGCAGAGGTTTCAGTTCAGAACCCAAATCCTGTGCGTCCGTACTTTTGATAAAGGCGACCGCCCTCATCCACTCCGTGAGGAAGCCGATCTCCCGGTTCTTGGAGCCGGAGAGGATGGTCACGGTGCAGTTGATGAGGTCCGGCTGGCTCCGGGGGACGCCGTCCTGGGGGTAGTCTCTCACGCCGTTGTCTCCTGCAAGGGACAGGCTCTTCAGTGACGCGTGCTTGGGTTAAAAGGACTTTGGACTGAGCAAACCTTCAGTACCTGGGCACAACTACGCCAAGGGGCCAAAGTGGAATCAGCATTTTTACTTAGTAATAATAACAGAGCGATACCAGTTGGTCGTCAGTTCAGATACATAAGAACTAGTGATCCCGCATTAGACGCATTTCGAAAACAACGACTGCTCCTCACCCTTCTTCTCAGGAAGCTTCGTGGTGACGGTGGGGTTGTAGAAGACGGTCGTCGCTTTCGTGTCGTGCGGGTCGGAGGTCGAGGACTGCGGCGGCGGGGGGTCGGGGCGCCGCGCGGGGGGCATGGCCGGCGGAGACATCATGCTCTCCTCCGGGATTTCCTCGGGCTGCTCGTCGGGCTCCAGCTCCCCCTGGTACGGCTCCTTCAGGATCTTCCGTGGAACTATAGGGGATGGTAGAGGAGTGAGTAATGACCGTAAAGGAATAGCCTAGAACTGGTGCACTATTTTGCATCCAAAGATGGCCTAGGTCAATATTTATCCATTAATAAAATCAAATTGAAAATTTAGACCCAGATAATAAAAATAAACATGATTTTGTAAGCCCACGAAATTCGTCTGCCTCAAAAACGACCAGTGGCGCCACCACGTCGCGTGACGTCATACCGTGTATAGCCATTGTCCAACAACATGGCGAGCAACAAGATTACAGCAGTTCCAGTGAAGTTGAAAGTGAAAGATCCATTGATTCTGTGTGTACAGAATCAATAGATCTTACTGGTGATGAACTAGAAGATAGGGAGCTGGAAGTAGGAGGAGAATTGGTGAAAGGATACCAATCTGAGCCATGTTATAGGCCGAATCTGACGACTCGTCTTCCTCCTTCATTAACCCATTCACGATGTTTAATTGTTTTCACACATAGATGGCTCCACTTGTATTTGTACTGCTCGTCTCGCCTGTTTACCCTTTTCTTTAATTTACGAAATTATTTTGCGTTATCTTATTTTGCTGTTACTAATGTTTATACCATTATAGTAATTATAATGTTTATAATAAAAATAACCATCGATATTCAAAGCACTAGTAAAAATACATTTTCCCGCCAATTCAAGTAAAGGTGAAATCAGGTAAGGCAGAGCCATCTAGTGTAGAGAAATTTCATTAAAAAAATATAAAAAATGAGCACAGCATTTTCCCCTTTTTTTGTTCATTTTTACCCCGCGCAAATGGGTTAACTTTATGCGCATCCAATTCTCGAGTGCCTCCATCTTTCCTCCGTCGTTTGGTAGTGCCCTGCGGGCTAAAATTGTCACCAGACATTGAAATTTGTCACAATAAATGCACAATAATGGCTGATCTCCTGACCCATACACATGGTACTACGTCACCCGTATGGAGGCGCCACCGGCAACATTTTGTAGCAGACGGATTTCAGGAGCAAAAATGCTAGATAAAAAGGGCTATAAAGTCTAGTGTTGTGAATGAATTTACAAAATGATGCCTTGGGATGTTTATTTAAATTATTTATTTTGCAAATAAAGTAAAAAAAAAAAACACATTCTACTACCCTCTGGACTATTCCTTTAAGCCCGACTTTGGGAAATTGCAAATCAATAATTTGTTTATAACTTTTACCTCAAGAGCAGCAGTAAAGTGAACTTACCACAAGTGTACACAGTCTTCATGTACATCCTCGATTCGGACGAACAGGGCTTCCCGTACTTGCTAGAGTTGGCGTGGAGCTCGCACTGCCTCTTGCCGTGGCACTGCGACATCACCATCTCCGTCGCGAAGCTCGCCTGGCAGTCTGGAAGGAGGAGGCTCGGTGAAGGAAGGCGAATATGACTTATCGCTTCGGAAAGCTATCGATGCCCAAACAACTAGATTGTTTTACATTGAATATGTACATTCAGTAATGGATTCCCACACATTAACAATGGAAACACACACACACGCACATAAACATACATACATACATACATACAAACACACACACAACCGACCTTCCTCCGGGACGCCCGCCGGCTGGGGGCACATGAAAGAGCCCTCTTTGCTTCGCCCGAACAGCACGCTGTAGATCGCCAGGCGGGAGTTCTTGCCGCATTTCAGAGTGAGTTCGCCTCCCTCGCACACGATTTTGTTTATGAATCTTTCTGCAAGAGTGAAGGACATTTCGTTAGTTTTGCAAGTTAGATTCTAGAGGTGATTCTGGCTTCGTTGCCGATGTGATCCATGACAAGGCAAAACCAAGTATAAGCCAAGTATAATAATAAATGAATATACAATGCTTAAAAAAAAAGAATAAATTCAAATAGCGCCTCTGGCGGGGATGACCAACTGAGCCCCACATGGCGTCACTCAAGCAGGTGTTCCCGACGAGGCCTGAGCCCGACTCACCTGGGCGGCACTTGTAGGCGACCTCGATGTACTTTCGGATCTCGGGGCAAGGGTCGTGTTCGCTGAAGGTCTCGGGGGACACCTGGATCCGGCACTGGTTCTTGTGGTGGCACTCGCCCACCACGAGCTGCAGGGTGTTATACTGGGGGCGGGGGGGGGTGCCATTAGTGCTGGGTTATTTACTCTGAAGGAGGATGATAGTAAATATCTCGACCTCTACAGAGGAAGTATATGGTGGATGTAATATAATGAATGATTCCTCCTACGACCCATTTTCATTTCGTGAAACTTGGTGCTGCCTGGCTGAAAACTAAATCCCTATGGCTCAGCGAATGCGATATTTATTTGTTTATTTTACACGAATTTCCACGTATAAAAACTTCATTCTGTGCAATTCCACTTAATAATTCATTCATAAATGTGCCAATAAGTGATCTTATCTCCCCAATGCCGGACGACCAATGGCTACGAACGCACGAACTTCATCAAACAAGCGATGCGATCTGGCGGAGAGTCTGACGACCGGATCTCATTTCACGCATTTCCTTTCCAGTACCTTTTACCCCATAAAGACAATTAACATAATTCGACTCTAACCTTGTGGGGAAACGCCGATCAACAACGATATAAAGTGAAATTAATACCACTACTAATCGCGGAGTGCAGCCATGGCCATCATTATTTCAATAAATGTCAAACGGTACACCAAAAGAACTCATTCTCCCGTTGCAGATGGACCGATATATATTCTCCTCGAAGGCCAGCACATCATTCAAGTTTAAAAGTCTAAGAACCAGTAAATCTTTAACATACCCTAAACTACAATGCTCATCACCACTGCATCCATAGATAACAATAATAAAGAGCTTCTATCAATCTATCTATCTATCTACCGTTATTACTAGTAGAATTGCTTTCACCATCATCTTTATCACTATCAAACTAATTCATCATTACTCCAATTCTGTCTCTTTACTCACGGCTTTATCAATAACAGTCTACTCCTCTTTCAACACCATTCTACTTTACAGAGGGTTTTACTCCGAAAGAAATACCGATTTACAACTCCTCGCTATGTCACAACGACAACGACCCTATTCCGTGTTTATTTTGTTAATGGCTAAACATTCCTCTTCTAATGAGGTCTAAATCTAACAAAAAAGAAAGAAAAAAGAAGAGAAAGGAAAAAAAATACTCACATTCTTGTAACGTCTTTCAGATACAAATAAGCCTTCCGTATGCACCATTTCTTATCTCTTATCTTAAGGTTTAAATGCTGTATATTTATATCATTTTTATTAACAACTTTTTCTTTCTAATTTATCATTTTACAACTACTTCAGAGAGAGAGAGAGAGAGAGAGAGAGAGAGAGAGAGAGAGAGAGAGAGAGAGAGAGAGAGAGAGAGAGAGAGAGAGAGAGAGAGAGAAAGAGAGAGAGAGAAAGAGAGAGAGAGACAGACAGAGAGAGAGAGAGAGAGAGAGAGAGAGAGAGAGAGAGAGAGAGAGAGAGAGAGAGAGAGAGAGAGAGAGAGAGAGAGAGAGAGAGAGAGAGAGAGACTTCCGCTTCCGTTAAGGAATGCAAAATAAAATTCTAGACTCACGTCCAAATGAAAACTTGTCCTCGTAAAACAGTAGCTTTCAGGCTTTACTTTCAAGGTTTTTAATTATTCTTGAAAGACGAAAAATTGAAACAAACACCAGGTGATTTTTTTCACACTAGTTACTACTTATGCACACACATACGAGATTAGAAATGTTGAATATATCCTTGGCCTCTCACATTTGATGTTCTTGTTAATTGTAGTGTTTTTCTACACTTCACATTCTATTTTCATTAAACTATAGATGGCGAAGACAATAATGCATTCACATGAAGTCGAGATTCCGAGACACATCAAGAGTAAGAACGAACTTACTGACCGCAAACTGAACCTAATAAACGAGATGACAAGCAAGCCCTTCCTCCATTCGCCAGTCAGTACAGCAACACCCCTTTTGCAAGAGACACCCGCATAAAGAGACATCCCTATGAGTTGCGAATTTACGCCTCGTCCCAAGAGTCGCAGTGATGTAATCCTCTGCGCTCGTGATAATCGCCGGCGCTTGCTGTTTATTGGGGCAGCGCGGCGGGCAATTATGCCGGCCGGTGACGAGGCGCAGGGACTCTCCGCCGGGCTTTCTGGGTCCGGGCGCGCCCACGGCAAGGCCCTTTGCGGTTTAATGGAGGCGATGTCAAGGATGAGGACGGAGATGGTGATGAAGATGATAATAATAGTAATGGCAATAATAATAGTAATAGTAACATAATAGTAATAATAATGATAACAACAACAACAATAATAATCTCTTGCAGGAAGAACTCATGGCAGCATTATTCATAACACGGGTTTTATTTCACTTTCTATGACGCAACATATCTAGTGAGTGCCAGCTCTGAAAGATCCATGGCTTTACCTAGAACAGGATACACCTAACCGGGTAGCTCCCCCTCCATTTAGCCTGTTGAACCCAAAAATGAAATTGACTTTTTCCCAAGAAAAATCTGGCCGTTGTTAAAGGTAAGGAACACTTCGTTATTACAAAAAAGGGGGATTTGGCTTTACTTCCGGTGATTATAATAATAACGAGTAAATTAAGCATCTATTTGTATCTGGTACCTCACTGTGCACTCTTACTGGCTAAACGTGACGTCATAAGCACCGCATCACCTTTGACCCTCTCAGTATCTGCAATATCTTATGGTGTTTTTTCTCTGTATTTTCTGTAATGATTCAGTAATAACAATGGCAAAAATACAATTGGAAAGTTAACCAAGAAAAGATATACATATATATTTGCAATGATTAAAGGCCAAAACGCGGGAATTAGCTTGGAAGTTCCCACTAGGGTTTTCCTCAAGACGGAGCGGGGCTACCTGTGCTGAAGTACCTGGACGCAGAGGGTCGTCTGCCCTTATTACCTTTTGCTAAAGTGAGAGCCTGATTATACAATTTACTTTCGAGCTGCACATCTAGTTTTCAATATTTTCATTTGTTTTGCTACCTAATTACATATATATGTGTGTGTGTGTGTGTGTGTGTGTGTGTGTGTGTGTGTGTGTGTGTGTGTGTGTGTGTGTGTGTGTGTGTGTGTGTGTGTGTGTATGCATCTTTGTGCAATGTGTATGTATGTATGCGCGTATATTCACACATGACATATCTTGCGATAGGGCTTGCCACTCACGTCGACGGTGGACGAGTACTCGCAGTGGCGCTTGGGGGCGGGGCGCGCGTGGTGCGGCAGCGGCGGGCACAGGTCGAGCTGCTCGGCCTCCTGCCGCGGCCTCCCGTACTTGGCGTAGAGCACGTCGATGGTGGTGTTGACGGGGCACTGCAGCGTGAGGGCGGTGCCGTCGCACGCGTGCCGCTGGAGGGTCCTGAGGGTGCCTGCCAATAGGG